GAAATAGACAGAAAGACAGAGACGTGGTGACGGAGGCAGAGAACGAGATAGAGAGACAAAGACACAGAGACTAAGAGATCCCAGCGGGCGCGCCGCAGGCAGAGGGATTCCTGACAAGAGAGAAAGCCAGGCAGGCAGAAAGAACCGCAGAGCAGTAAGGGACAGAGACCCTGCGAACCCACAGGCCCGAGGGCGCGGCCATGCTGGAGAGGCTGCAGGCAGCAGACTCAGCCCGGGCCTGCTCTCTGCGAAGACACAGAACATGCACATGGGGACAACAGCCCACTCAAGGGTTGGTCGCCCTCCAAGACTTGGCCCTGAGCTGCCTACACACACACACACACACACACACCACACACACAAACACACCACACACACACAGATGAGTGCAAACACACACCACACACAGACACACACACAAACACACACACCACACACACACAGATGCGTGCACACACCACACACAGACACACACACACCACACACAGATGCGTGCAAACACACACCACACACAGACACACACACCACACACATGCGTGCACACACCACACACACATACCACACACGCACACACACGACACACACACACACCACACACTACACAGACACACCACAAACACACATACCACACACAGACACGCGCACACACATACCACACACACCACACACACTAGACACACACACCACAGACACACACACATAAACACCACACACACACCACACACACACACCACACACACAACCACACACACAGATGAGTGCAAACACACACCACACACAGACACACACAAACACACACACCACACACACAGATGCATGCCCACACCACACAGACACACACACACCACACACAGATGCATGCAAACACACACCACACACATGCGTGCACACACCATACACACATACCACACACGCACACACACCACACACACACACCACACACGACACACACACACTACAGACACACCACAAACACACATACCACACACAGATATGCACACACACATACCACACACACACCACACACACTAGACACACACACCACACAGACACACACACACACACACACCCTGGCCTGCTATCCATCCAGGCCTCTCCCAGGAGGCTGAGCTAAAACTCTCTCCTGCCTCTGTGACAACAACAACAGAGGACAGAGAGGCTTCCAGTGCTAATGGGGGTCCCAGGCAGAGGGAGGAGGGTACCCACCCGCCAGGGAGACCAGAGGGGACCCAGAGCAGCAGGTCAGCCTGGAGGCAGGCCTGAATCCTTCAGCTCACTCAGCGGGGGCCTTCTACAAAAGCGGGTACCGGCCCAGCCTCCTGGGGCTGGGAAGAGACCAGGGAATGACACTGACTGGCCGTGGCATAGCTGAGTGAACATCACCTGGCGTCACTGTCAGCATTCTTACCACCTGCACCCAGCCTCCCGATAAAGGACCTGTCTTACCCCAAGAGTCCACCATTCAATCCCATCAGCATCATCGAGCAGAGAAGGGAACCCTGCAGGCCTGAGTAGGCCACCTCCCTCCCCTGCCTGGCTCCCAGTGCCCACTATCACCCCCACTCCTGCTGCAGGAGGAGGATCGCCTTTGCCCAGAGGCTGCTAAGGAGCTTAGGGGTGCCCCAGGGCTGTGCAGGGAGGAGCCTACTACATAGCTGGCCCAGCACCCGGCTGCAACAGGATGAGGACGCCACCTGGCCATATCCCCACCCCAGCCTGGGCAGTCAGACATGGCTGGGCGGCTGAGTGACCCTGGGGGACAGAAGCCTCTGGGGCCACTGCCTGCGATCTCCCCAGCGGCCCTGCCATCGGGTCCTCTGTGGAAGCTGGAGAGAGAAAGCACCTCCAGCCTGGGCTGCCCTGAGCTTTACTGAAGCCACAGCAAACTCCCACGGCGGCAAACTCCCACGGCGGCAAACTCCCACGGCGGCAAACTCCCATAGCAGCACACCACAGGTGCTTAATCTGTGCACAGCCTCCCCCGCCACTGTCTAGGTTCCACTTTCTGTTTGAAAGAGGAGTGAAATCAAAGGGCCATCCAGGGCACTGGAGGCATGGCAGGCCCCAGGCTGGACACACACACGTGGGAAGTGTCGCTCTCCAGCCAAGAGGGCCATGGGGCAAACACCCCCAGGCATCCTTGTCCGGCAGTGGGTTATGAGTTTCTGCAATGAACTGATGGCTCACAGGGCCCTGGACTCCAGGGGAGTGGGGGAAGGAGGGGGAGCAGATGGGGGTAGGGGGTGGGGAATCAAGGAGATGGGGGGGTGAATGGATGGGGGAGGGGCAAGGCCACTGGCAGGAGAGGAAGACAGGCAGAACCCATGGGTGAGGGCGGCTTCAAGGTGGGGGAGGGGTAGGTAAGGAGGGCAAGGACAGATGGCCGCAGGCAGACGCAGACGCAGACGCAGACGCAGACGCAGACGGGCTGGGTGTAGCTGGGGCAGCTCTGTGGTAGGGAAGGAGCTGCAGTGGATGAGCAGGGAGAGCTGACAAGAGGGAGGAAGCAGGGGGTGAAGGGGAGTGAGCAGGACAGGGGGGCTGTTTGGGTGGAAGGAAAGGGAGGGAAGAAGGAGGGAGATGGAGGAGAGAAAGAAGGGGAGAGGGGCAGGAGGGATATGCTGGAAGGGTTGGGCCTGGGGCAGGGGTGCTGGCTCAGGTCCCCAAGGGGGCAGTGCCTGAAGGAGAAGCCCTGGCATTGACACCAGTCCCAAGTCCAGACTCAAGTGCAGGGGGCCCAAGCCCCAGGCCACAGAGACCCCCTTCAAGTCTAGCAGGGATGCTGTGGTTGAATCTTACACCCCAGGAGGAGGTGGTGGGGTTGCAGCCTCAGCCATGAGCGGCCTCGAGGGTCCCCACAGGGCTGGCCACAGGCCCTGGAGGGCAGCCTGGACTGGAATGAGGGAGGGAAGGAGGAATATGCCTGAGGGGAGGGGCGCTCCTGAGGGCAGGGCACTCCTGAGGGGTGAGTGCTCCTAAGGGGTGGGGCGCTCCTGAGGGCAGGGCAATCCAGCCGAGGGCATAGCCAGCGCAAAGCCCCCAGGCAGGAATGTGCCTGGCATGCTTGGGAACCCCAGGGTGGCCTGGGAGGCTGTGCCTGAGGGGTTGAGAGGACTGGTGCAAGAAGATGAGCTCGGGTAGGTGATGGGGCTGGATCATGCCAGACCTGCAGGCCATGACAAGGATTTTTGGCTTTTTCCTGCTTGAGACAAGAGCCACAGATGGTTTGGAGCATAGGGGGACATGTGGGGGGATACCCCCTGGGTGACACAGGCATCTGCCTTTATAAGAGCCCTCTGGCTACTGCTTGGAGGAAAACTGAAGGGTGAAGAGGGGGGCCGCAGCAGGGAGATCGGGAGGAGACCACTGCAACATTCCCAGCAGTAACGAGCCCAGGTGGCCTCAGGTGCAGGCTGAAGGCTGGAACTGGGATATCTTAGGGCAGAGGCGTCAGAATCAGCTGACGGGCAAGAGAGCTGGCAGGTAGCCAGGGAGGAGGCCCAGTGGCAGCAAAGACGCAGCTGCATCCAACCGGGAGGCTCCGGAGCAGGCTCTCAGGCGCCTGCGGTCTGTTGGCCAGGAGTTCATTAACTGACCACCTTCCTGTGACAACTTGGTGAGGGGAGCAGGGGTGGGGGGATGCCCCAGCAGCAGGAGGCCAAGCCAACCAATGACCACACAGACACCCCAGCCCCTCCCTGCTCTGCCCCACAGGCAGCCCTGAGGGCACCTGGCAGGTGTGCAGATGGCCGGCCACAGCCATACAGAGCAGGGGGGGAGCCTGGCCATCCCAGCCCCAGGACGGAACCCACCTCCTGCCAGCCCAAGCCCACCCCGGGGATGTCCCAGGGCCCAAACAGGCACCCTCTCTTCCCAGCAGAAGGCCAAGTGTGGCCCTGCAGCCAGGCCACCATCCATGCAAGCTCCTGGGTGCCAAGCAGCTCCCACGCACAGGGCCCACAGCCGAGCCCTCTAGGCAGATGACCAGGTGACACCCTGCACACAAGCTCCTAGATCGGGGAGGAAGAAACGGGGCTCAGAGAGGCACAAGGGCTGCACAGCCGTGGAGGTGGGGGTGGTGGAAGTCGTGCCTGGGCCCCCTGAGGGCCCTGGGATGAGTGCCCCAGTGAGGCCTGAGACCACCTGAAATGCCAGGTAACCCCACATGGAGAGGCAGACGAGCCTAAAATCGTCCGGTTCCCCCTGCCCAAAGCTCAGCCATGGTCCCTCAGGCCTGGTGGCTGCAGACTCAACCCGGGCCAGCCCGGTGCCATGCGGCGCCCCGAGGAGTGGCCAGACTGGGCAGTGGAAGAAGCCTTTGTTGCTCTAGAGGTCAGGCCATGTCCTAACCAAGCACCACCCCTTTAGTGCTGAGCCAACTCTGCCCATCTCACTCTGGGGGACTCTGGAGTCTCCCTTCCCTGCCGCTTAAGAATCCAGAAGCTCCAGGGGCCTGGCAGAGCCCTGAACTGAACGCCTCACAGGCCGGGGCTCAAGGCCAAGGGGGCTGCCTGCTATGTAGGGCTGGAGGCAAAGGTCACTGAGCCCCCTGTTCCAAGCAAGCATGGAACCAAGCCACCCACCCTCAGTGAAGCTCTCGGAATATGCTAAAAGCTGAACACGGACCACAGGACGGTCCTGACCCCCATCAGAGGGCAGTTCTCTGCGCCTTGGCACCCCCGGCCCTCCCCTTTCAGCTCTCCCCTCCCTTACTCCAGCCACCCCCGACCACAAGCCTGTGCCTGCCCCAGGACCTTTGCACTTGCTGCTCGGTCCCCCGGAATGCTTTCCCCACTTCTTCCCACACTCAGGCAGCTCCAGAGAGACCTGCTATCTGCCCTCCTCCTGCCACCCAGCTCCGGGCACCCAGTGCTCGCCCACCTCTGAGCCTTTGCCCAAGCTAGCCCTCCCTGCATACCCACTCACCACCTCCCACCCAGCCCAGCCAGCAGCAGAACCTCAGGCAGCAGAGGAGCTCCCAGCTGGGGGCCCTGGCTTACCTTGGTGAGGTCCTCAGATCCCCCAGGCTGCCCCGAGGCCAGCAGGGGTGACGGTCGCAGCAGGGGGTCGGGCAGCAGCTCCAGCCGAGGGCGCTTGCTTTCAATGAACTCCATCTCTGACTTGCCCAGCTCCGGCAGATACGAGTGGGACTCTGGCCGCAGGTGGAGCTCCTGGGACCTGTGGCAGGGGAGGCAGGTGGCGTCACAGGGAGAATGCCACTCTGAGAACGCCCAAGGTCCCAACCACCTCTGCACCAAGCCCCTACTGCGCGCTGTGCTCTGTGTGGTCCTGCAGGAAGGTGCTCACAGGAGCCCACCTCCCACGGCCCCACAGCGGGGCAGGACTGCAATGCGGCGCTGCCCTCCTTCAGGTCCGCGCTCGCCCAGGACATTTACAGGGAGGGAGGGTGCCACAGAGGCACTGCAATGCCCCAGAGTGACTGCCCTCCCTCGCCACTCAGGGTGGTCTGTGCAGCAGCCCACCATCCCCAGCTGGGGCTGGCCACAAATGCAGAAGCTCCAGTCCTGCCCAAGACCTACTGAGTCAGGCTCCGAATTTAACAAGTTCCCGGTGGTTCACAGGTACAGCCCATCTGGGAGAGGCTGTGGGCCTAACGCAGAGAACAGCACCCGTGACACCACTTCCCTCCCACCCACGCCGCGCAGACATCGCTGGCCGATCGCAGAACTCCTCCTGCGGAACCTGGCCCCACCACCTCTCAACTCAGCCCAGCAGCCTGGACTCCCCACTGACGGGCCCTCCCGAACCCTCGTCCACACTATGCCCAGAGAGTGCGTGGCCTTGCCTAACTCGGCACACCCTGCAGAGCTGGGACTCTTGGCCTCCACCTCTGCGGCTCCAGCCATCACCCACCACAAAGAGGCTGAACGTGGCCCTTGCTGAAATGCTTTTCCCAGAGGCTGAGCAGGGAATCCGCGACGATTCCCCTCCTGCACGGGCCCTGCCTAGCCTGGTCCTTGCTGACCCCCCACTGCACTCCTGGCCCAGGGCCTTTGCACCTGCTGGGCTCTGCCTGGAGCATTGGGGCCGCAGGCCCTCCATGTGGGCTCCTCCCCTTCAAGTTTTGGTGCAAATGGCGCCTCCTTGCCCCAGGCCAGACCCCGCCTCACCTGCCCCATCTGCCCTCTCTCCACTGCCTTCCTGTGTGCTTGGCGGCCACAGGTACTTCCTGGCCACCCCCACCCCCACCCCGGAATGAGGCAGGGTGGCTCACCTGCCCCCAGGGACTGGCACACAGTAGGCATTCAATCAGGGCCTGTAGACTGACTGAATGCTGCCAACTACGGCCTGGGCTGGAGCTGTGTTGCTGCCCCTGTGGGGGCGAGGCTGCCACCTCTCTGTGCCCACCTCCCTGGAGGGTCCTCAAGTCCTTGTCCCTTCAAAGCTGGGTCCCAAGACATCCCCTCTTCATGACCCAGAACCTAGGGCTTTGCCATCACGAGGTGCTTGGCAAGAAGCGCGTGGTGGTGTTTTCGCCTAAACACGACAGAGGTGCCACGGTGGCCAGAGACACATCCTCCCAATTCACGGCCGCTGGAGTCTCAGAATGAGACCTTCTTTGGATCTAGGGTCACTGAACATGGAATTAAGATGAGGCCATTCTGGATTAGGATGACTGCGGTCCTTCTAACAGGACCAGGGAACACAGGGACAGATGAAAAGACGGCCATGTGAGAGAGACAGGTGCAGGCGGAGGCTGAGATCAGAGCAACACAGCCACAGCCAGGGGACACCCAGAGCCGTCAGAAGCTGGTGGGACAGAAAAGCCTTCCAAGCAGCGTGGCCCTGCAGATGCTCTGAATTCAGATCATGGGAATGCACTTCTGTGGCTTGAAGCCACCCAGTTTGTGGCACGTGGGGACAGCAGCCCCAGGAAACCAATCCCGGCACCAAAGGCAGGCTGCCTCGGCCTCCCCTCCTCCTCCAGACGCCAGCGCACACCCAGTCCACCAGCCCCGCCTGCCCCGGGAAAGCAGCCATGGCCCTGGGACGCCTCTGTGGTGTCATGAAGGGCTGGGGCCCGGGGCCCGGGGCCCCAAGTTCTAGTCCTGGCTGAGTAAACAAGGGCCCATCCCTCAACCTGGCAGACTCAGCTGCTCCGAGAAACAGGCACAAGGCCCCACACCTCAGGGTCTCCAGCAGAAGTTACTGGAGAAGGTGGGAGAAAGAACGTGGCCTAAAATGTGTGCACGGAGAGCTGGCTCTGGGCCCAGTCCTGGCCCTCCCCTTGCTGTAGTCCCCCAACTCCCCACCCCACCTCCCTCCCACCCACCACCTCACTTTTCATTCTCCTCCCGCCTGGATTAGGGAAAGCAAGGCTGGCCCAGCACAGGCACACACCGGAGAGCGTCCTCTGCCAGCTGGAGAAAACGGAGGAATGGAGGGGAGGGGAGGGGTCCTGGGGCAGCAGGTGTGGACTCGGCCCAGCCCTGCTGCAGCCCAGCTCGGTGGCCCCCACTCCTGCCCAAACTCACAGAGTCCACTGAAGGTCCAGGCTGGACGGCCGAGGGCCACATGGCTCTTCCCTGCGGGTCCCCATCCTCAACCCAAGTCACGGCCATACCAGGTCGAGGGTGAGCCCACGGCCCCACACCCCCTCATTTCACAGGCCCCTGCGTGCTCCTGCTCCGCCACGGGCCTCTGCCTCTCTATCTGAGACGGAGCTCCGCGCCTCTCCTCACCGTTCATTCCCAGGCTGGAACTCGGACAGCAGGGAGGGCCTCCGCCGCTGGGGCTGAATGATGGAGCCGGGCGACAGGTGGGAGGCATAGTCGCGGGAGTGGTGCTGGTAGTCCAGGAGCCCGACGTCCTGCGGGAGGGAACAGAGGAGCAGTGAGTGCCAGTGAGCACGGGCATGGCGGGGCAAGGCTATGGACACCTCTCTCCTGCCCTGGGCAGACAAGCTCACGTCCCCGCAGGGAACTTCAGGGACCAACTGGCCAGAGGCTACCACCCCTGGGCCGAAGCCAAGGAGGAGAAGGAACACAGCCGGCTGAACGGCCCTGGGCTGCGCCCTTCCCACACAGCCTCTCAGGGACCCATGATCACGCCCACCTTCCAGGTGAGACCGCCGAGCCTGGCAGGGCTGACGGGCCGTCCGCGGCCACAGGCTGCTACAGGCCTGGAACCATACACCTGCAAAACCCGTTCCGGCCACGCTGGCATTGATGGGGGCCCAGGCAGAGGAGAGGACGCTGTCTCCACTTTGCTACCCTTCCACCCCATGCCACCCCTGCTGGGCAGCGGGTCCCTCCAGCCTGAGGAGTTGAAGGTCGGAAATGCGGCCCTGGGAAGACAGGACTGCAGATGCGTGCAGGGCAGCGTCACATGCAAACACAGACCCACGGGCAGCAGCCACATTGGAAAAAGGCGCAACCAAAGTGCCCAGTCCTCGGCGGGCGGGGTAAGTCATGCCCGCGAGAGGGATCGAGGCTCTGGCCTCACTCGCCGGGGTAAGGATGGACGGTGGCAATGACGGTGGCAGACACTGACTGCCAGCGAGGCCTAAACACCGGGTTTCAGAATCAAGCACCCCCTGACCCAAGGCCATACCGCAGGTAAGGCTCTATCCCGGACAGGAGGGTAAGCCTCAGGCAAAACCACGCCACCCTCCATGTGACAAAGACTCTCCTTGCCCACACCTGAGTCAAGCTCCTCTGGCCCATCCTCTCTGCATGGGGCCTTGACATTGGCCTTGCGGGGCTGTGGGAATCCTGCTAAGTCAGTTTAGAGGAACCCCCACCCTCAAGCGCTCCTCAGAGTAATTTTCCACCCACTGACCCCTCCCCCCACATGGCAACTGTGAGGCCCCAGCTGTCTTGGCCGAATCTGGATCGGAGCCCGGACTCTGTCCCTGATTGTGACAGTCCCGACACTGATACCACAACTGTCCCGCAAAACGAATTCCTCTTAACAAGTGTCCAGATCCTTTTTTAACACATTATTCATTATCATGTGGGGGCTCAACATCAACAAATGAGATACAACCCAACTGCCAAATACACTCAGATTGGACACACATTAAACTGTGTTTTAAAAAAAATAAAATGGCCGGGCGCGGTGGCTCACGCCTGTAATCCCAGCACTTTGGGAGGCCGAGGCGGGCGGATCACAAGGTCAAGAGATCGAGACCATCCTGGTCAACATGGTGAAACCCCGTCTCTACTAAAGATACAAGAAATTAGCTGGGCACGGTGGCGCGTGCCTGTAATCCCAGCTACTCAGGAGGCTGAGGCAGGAGAATTGCCTGAACCCAGGAGGCGGAGGTTGCGGTGAGCCGAGATCGCACCATTGCACTCCAGCCTGGGTAACAAGAGTGAAACTCCGTCTCAAATAAATAAATAAATAAAAACAGCAAAAACAAAACAACAACAAAAAAACAGTAACAAGCCTCTCAAGCAAAACAAGACGGGGCTCACTAACGCGCCAATCCCGATCGGTTAGTTCTGTCTGCCTGGAACGCTCAGCTATGCTGTTTGCGGCAATCAGTTAGTGATGTCTGACATAGGTAAGGCTTCAGAGAGTGAAGTCACCTTTAGAGCAGGTGACTTCGGTTCTTCTTGGCACCTTTTAAACTTTTCCCAATTTTCCATAAAAGTCTAGTCATTCTTTTGTTGCCTGGCTTTTAACAAAGCAGTTATTTTTTGCAAAGAGAATCACAGTGCCAGGTAGGTGTGATAGGGTACTTGCTACAGACCCAGCAAAGTCAGCACCTCGAGCCAGGGGCCCGGGGCCAGGGAGGATGAGCGAGGGGCAGCCTCAGAAGCTGGAAACAGGGAAGGGACCTCCCTGGGCAGTCCGATGTAGATATCAAGAGCTGTAAGGCCTCCAACAGAAGGTATGTCTTTGGCCCTGTTATTCGAACCCTCTGGGCCTCAGTTTCTCCTCTTTGAAATGGGTGTCCAGCCCAGATTAAAGGAGGTCTGCACCTCCCACACTCAACTCCCTCACCTCTCCGAGGGCCTTCCCCCAAGGCTGAGGGTAGCCTCCTGAATCCCACACTGTCTAGCACAAGACGCCAGGTGCTCCCAGGGGAGGAGAAGGGAGCTGGAGGAGAAGGGCTGGAGGAAAGGAGCGGAGGAGGCCACCAGGCGGACGACGGCACAGCTGCCAGGCAGAGACCCCACCACACACACGGAGGTATGAGAAGAAAGCATCAAGCCTCACAGACTGCCAGGAGGACCCTCTCCACCCAGCTCTCCCACACCAAGGCCAAGTGGGCATAGAGGCAGGGCAGACAGTCCAGTCCCTGGGGAGAGGGCCTCAGCCAGATGGCGCCCACAGCTGCCAACCGTGGTGGAGGAGGCCCCAGGCCTCTGCATGAACCCTTTGCCTCAGTTTCCCAATTTAGGAGATTCTCCGAGGAGCATCTTAGGGGCCATTTATGCCCAGAATGTGTGGGCATTTTGTTACTGGACCCTAAACCCTGGGAGGCCCAAGGTCCACACTGGCCCCCACCACCAGGCTTGAAGCAGGTCACCAGGGTTGAGCCCAAGGACTCCCCCACAAGAGTGCCCGGAAGTTCTAAGGGAAGGCAAGACTTGGGGAGACCCCACAAGAGAAACTGAAACTGACCTGAGGTGGGCCTGGGGGGGTCCCATGAGCTGGAACACACTCCGGCTGGAAACTACCCACCACGTCTCCGAGCAGGAGAGTTCCCAACACGAAACAGTAATCATAAGAAACAATAATAATACCCCACAGTAATAAACTGCCTACTGTGTGCACCTGCAGCTAAATGCTTTAAATATATTAATTAATTTCATCCGTACAGCAACCCTGTAAGGGGGTATTACAAGTAGCCCCACATAAAGATGAAAAACAGAGGCACACAGAGGGTACATGGCTTGTCCAAGTCACACAGCAATAAGGGGATAGGCTCTGAGAAGCAAGGCGAAGGCTAAGCTGACTTTCTGAGGAGGGGCAAGAGGGGACAGGCCCCAGGCTCCGAACCTGTCTCTGGAGGACAACAGTGAACCTGACTCGGGGAGAGGGAGCCGGACCCAGCTGCTCAGAAAGGGAGGCAGGAAAAGCCCGTGCAGGTGATGCCCCCACCCCCTGCCTCGGAGGGCCTCTCCCCAGCCTCGGAGGGCTTCTCCCCGGCCAGGGCACCTCTGAAGCTAGAAATCAGGGCCACCAATAAATCAATAAATTATACCCTTAAAACTCCTGGTTCGGAAGGTGGCAGGCCCCCTGGAAAAGCCGTACACCCCAGAGGGAATCCCAGCCGATGACTCCTTGGCTGGGCCCCAAGGGTAGGGAGGAGTGGCTGGGGGCAGCAGGACAAAGGAGATAGATTCCAGGGGATGTCTGAGCGCCGGCTGAGTTCTTTGGCGGGAGAGGAGCACCCTCTCTGGCCCCTGGATACAGCTCCCTACTCCAGAGGGAGCCCTACTTACTGGAGAGCTCCTTAATCTGCACCTATCAACGAATTCCATCCTCACAATCTTATAACCATCCTTGCTCAACTGACAGGGAACTGAGGCACAGGGCGGTAAGGCCACTTGCCCCAGATTTCACACCTAGAACATCACTGGGGCAGGACGTAAATACCAGCAGTCTGGCTCCAGAAGGGAATGTTTGGGGCTGCACACTGAAAGCAAAGGAAGAATTTGGGCTGGTCTTGGACTCTGGATTCACGGGTTTCTCCTGGAATCACGGCAGCTACTGTCAAGAGAGCGCCTATCTCAGGACCTTTGCACATGCTCTTCCTGCTGCCTGGAACATTCCTCAGCCAGATTCCCATACGCCTGGCCCTCCCCCTGGCTCCAAGTTCAGCTCCAAAGGCAGCTTCTCAGTGAGGCTCCTCCCTGCCCCTCTACTTAAACCTTTTGAAGGCCAGATCATCCCTCCACAGCCTCTTAAAAGCCATCACCAAGCACCAGGAACTGAGCTGGAAGAGGGGCCATGAAGCTAACAGAGGGACCCCCAACTCAGGGAACTCAGGACACTACAAAGCCTCCCACAGTCGCCTCTCCCAGCGATCCCCACGCACCCACTTGCCCTGGCCCGGCCCAGGCGGTCTCTGCAATCTGGGAGCCTTGGCGCAGGGCAGTACTGCTCCACCAGAAGTCTGCGACTTCACTCATTCCCACAAGGTGGGCACAGAACATGACGGCGTGCAGACCCCTGGCATCCAAGGGCATGACCAACTCTGACACCACCGGACCTGACAGGACCGGGCCTGGCTGAGCCCCTGCATCTGTGCAATCAACACCGGATCGATTTCTGACAAACTGGAAATGAGACAGACCGGTCCTTCCCACAGAGAATCTGATAAGCGCTCATCTAGGTCAAGAGTCAGCACACTAGGGCCCAAGGCCAAAGCAGGCCTGGCCAGCGGCGCCCAGTGACACGGGCGCAGGCCACGCCCACTCCCTTACTCTGGGGCCGAGCTGCTTTCACACCGCAGGGGCCGAGAAGCGGGTTGGCATGGCCTGAAAAGCCTGAAATATTTACACAGAAGGTGTGCTCACCCCTGCCCTAGGGGCAAAGCCCAAAGTGTACCCTCGGGGTAAGACAGAGGCTACAAGGGCGATGTTGCAATAACAGCGTCATCGCTACGTTATTGATCTTATCAAATGTCTGCTTAGTCTGTCCATACCCCGTTTGAAGGGCTCTGCACCTATCAACGAATTCCATCCTCACAATCTTAAAACCACCCTTGCTCAACTGATGAGGAAACTGAGGCACAGGGCGGTAAGGCCACCTGCTCTGAGTTGCACAGCTAGGATACCACTGGGGCAGGATATAAATGCAGGCAATATGGCTCCAGAACAAGTGCTATGAACCACTCTTCAGTACTGAGGCACAGAGAGGTTAGGTAACTTGCCCAAGGCCACACAGCAGAAAGGGGTCATGCTGGGATTCCCACTCCGTGTCCCTGCTTTTAACTGCATTCAATTCAGCCCAAGGTCTGGAGGAGCTCAAGAGCATTCAGGGGTCTCAGAGAACTTGAAGAAGAAGGCAGAATCAAACTGGGCCACAGAAAGCACGAAAGGAGGCCAGGAGAGAAGGATGCGTTGCTTTCAGGGAAAACAAGAGTTGTGAGCATTTTGTTACTGGACCCCCAACCCTGGAGACCCTCAGGGAGACCCACGGGGTCCTGCTACCGTCATGAAGGGAAGCTGGGCCTGAGGATGGAGAGAAAGGGGCACAGAGGGATGCAGCAGGGCCGGGGTGACGCCCATAGAGCCCTGGAGCATGGCCGAGGCTGCGTCAGGGAACCCAGAGGCTTCCCATGGTCTCGGGGGTCAGGCCTCTGTCCGCAAGCACTCCCTAAGGGAAGCCTCCCATTTGCACTGGGAACCACTCACCAGCAGTCTGCTGAGGATGCAAAGCAGAGCACAGGCAGAGGTGGCAGCTCCCACGGCCTGTGCCATCCAGCTCGGGCTCCACATCCACAGTCCTGTGGTTCCCACGGGGAAGAGGCCCTGCTCGAGTCTCCTGCCACCCCCCCCAGGAGTAAAGAGATGACCACCCCAGGCTTGCTGTGTGCAGACTCTGCCACCGACGCACAGACCCCCCAGGACACCGGTACTGCAGGGGGGGAAACTGAGGCCATTCCGCATGGCTGTAAGCGGCTCAGTGCCACTCAGCAAGCTGGACATGGAGAGGGATTCGAAGCCACCCTGAGTTTCTTGCAGGCTGCAGAGAAGGCTGGCTTCCCGTGCCTGGAGTGCCAGGAAGAAGACTCTCCAGCTGGGAGAGCCAATCCCAGGAGGCAAGCCTGTCAGGAGTGTGTGTGCGGGTGACCTGAATCTGGGGTCACTGAGGCAGCCCCTGGATCCCAGCAGACCGGCCTCAGCTACTGCAGAAGGAACCAGGACCGCCAGGTTCCCACCACTGACTGTCCCTCACCCAGGGGTTCTGTCTCTCCGAGGCTTGATTTCCCCTTTCTCTGTTCCATCTTTCAAGGATCGAGAAGCTCAGGAAGAGGGCAGCATCTTTCCAATTGGGTCTTGCCAATTAAAAGGACAGGAAGGGTTTGGGGGCCGAGGGGCTGCCAGGGAGGGGCCTCCAGATCACAGCCCCCAGCTCACCTCCGACCCCCAGCAATAAAGTGGCTCCCCCTGTGCATATGCCCAGGGCAACAGGGCCCTCCCCAGAGTGCCCAGAACTCTTCTTCCTACCCTTCAAGAGACAAGCAGGGGTCCCTGGCAGGCAACCCTACCATGAGTCCAGAGGGTCGGATATGGGGCAGTTCCCCCATGGAGGAGCACACAGGTGGCCTCTGCTGTCCCCACACAAGGACAGAAATGATGGTACCTGTGGCCACCAGGCTGGGCCCAGCTCACTCCCTGGCCTCAGCCTCCTGCCTGGAAGGGATGGTGAGCGCTTGACCCTGTCCGCTGCGTTCTGCGTCACTGATGGCCCAGCAGGAGAAGAATGGGAGGCGTCTAGGGTCAGCCAGTGATCCCAACTGCCCAGAGGAGGGCCCAGTTGGGGCAAAGGGCAGGAGAGGAGGCGGGAGGGCACTAGAGCCACAGGAGCCTGAGGACTCCCCAAGGCTAGGGGCAGGGTGGGGGCGGAGGAGAGTGGGGACCTCCAGCAGGACAGGTCAAGAAACCAGACAGAAGCCAGCAGCACCCCGGGCAGGCAGGTTCCCCTCCAGCAGCTGCAGGAACAGCAACAAGAGCAGCGAACCGGCAGCCCAGGCGGGCCCTGAGCCAGGCACTGTCTTAAGGACATTCAAAGATCCCCTTTACCCCTGGTGAGAATCTAGGAGACAGGGACTCTCAGTAACCCCACTTCATGTGTGACGAAACTGCAGTTTCCCACCCTGTGAAGGATTTTCCCGTCGACAAAATACAGAGCATGACAGTCCTGCCCCGGGGCGATGAGGGGACCGGGCACAACCATACACACTCAGGGCTGTAAACAGCGTCTGCCCCGCAGCAGGTGCATAGCTCACGAGAGCTCTTCTTTTTGCTAGTGGTGACAGATAATGACAATGATGACAAGACATGGAATCATTTCCCACTGGGAGCCTACGCTTTAGCCCTGGGCACACAGTAGGTGCTCAATAAATAGAGGCCTGGGGGAGGTTTGGGGGGGCACAGACGCTTGGAGCCTCAGTGCAGAGGCAGCCTCCCCACGGAGGGGATTGCACCTGAGGCCTGGGATTTCGCCCCCTGGGCCTCGGTGTCCTCATCTGCAAAGTGGGATGACAGCACAAGCCGTTCTTTCACGGGGCTGCTTGGGAGAAGGCAATGACCCTCCCCAAGGACATGCCGCCCTAAGAGGACCCGAAGTGCACCCACTGACAACAGCTGGCTCTGCAAAGCATCCCAGGGTCCCAAGCCCACAGCCGGCGACTGTGTCCGGGACCCCCCCATGCAGGGCCCGGGAGCTCATATGCAAAACCTTCTTGCTCACTGACGGAAAGGTCCTCCCACACAGCTTCCTCTCTGGGTCTCACAAGAGAGGGCCACACTAGCCAGGCAGGACAGACACATGCACACACACAGGTACCCCACGGTGGCCGGCAGAGTCAGCTTCTACTCCAGCTGTGACCTCCAGGCCTCACGCCCCTCACTGAGCAGCCAGGAGGTCACACGGTGAGGCCCACACTTCTGAACGTCGCTTGGCAAACACCAGAGACGTGGTATACAGCAGGCACCCCATAAATGCCAAAGGAGCAAAACCAAGGCCCATTGTGCTGGTCTCACTCATGCAATGAGAAATGAGGCAGGAAACGGGGCCCCCGCTGGGAGGTGGGGCAGGGAGGGTGGTGGGACGGGGGCGTCTTAAGAGACCCGATGAGAGCACATGCGTGGGCGGGCACCAAGGCCCACCTGTTCCCAGGGTAACCCGTCTGCCCCGGCCACAGGCATGTTCCCCCAGAGACACAGCCAGTGCCCTGGGCCCTGCTGTCAGGGAGGCAGAGATGCAACCTGTGCGACGCCTCCTCATCTCAGAGCCTTGAGCCTGGAGGACCAGGCAGGAAGGGGAGCTATGACCTCTATGGCCCGGTGGCGCCCCAGAAGCCACTCCCATCCTATCCAGTCCCATAGCAGGTTGGGGACAGAGGCGAGGCTGGGCCGCAGGAAAGTGAACAGAGCAGGGGCTCCTCTTTCACACACCGAGCCACTGCCAGTCAAGAGAGGGCAGAGCCCCAGCTCGGCATGGCCCTGGCCTCCATCTTCCCAGCTTTAAAATGGGAGCAAAGATTTTACCAGATGCTCTGGAAAAGGCTTCAGACACCAGGAGCCTCTGCGGAGGCCTCCCCTCTGTCCTAGAGGCTCAGAGCCACACGAGCCTGACTCCCAGGAAAGGGTAAAGTCTCAGCGGAACGGAAGGATCTCACAGTGGCCCCAGGCGCACTCACGTGCCCCCCTTACCGTGTGCGTCCGGGCGATCTGCACGGGGTAGGAGAGGCCGTGGGGCGGGTAGCGGGGCTCGGTGGCCCTCCACGTCTGCGCCACAGGCTGTGTGGATCCCGACATGGTGGTGGGGAAGGGGGACTCCCAGGCCCCAATATGCTTTCTATTAATGGCCACCAAGGATTAAAAGCCGGTCCTCGTCATCGGCTCACAGGCCACCCCGTCACTGGCACCTGTGAGAAAACAAGAAAAGAAAAACAAGATCAGCCACGGGGCCGCTGGGGCCGCTGGGGCCGCTGGGGCCGCTGGCTCCTCTGTGCGCGGGTTCCTGAGGGGTTCCTATGGTCCTGTGAGGCCACACAAGCACCCAAGGGCCTGCCTGGACCTCCTCCATCCACTGACACACTCACCTGCCCTCCAGCAGCACAAGGAAACGGGATTGGTGTTCAAGGTCCCTCTGAGCCATGGAAGCCACGCACAGAACCAGCAGCCCCTCCCCACCCAGGCCCTCATGGCAGGCACAGGGACTCTGTGCTGCCCTCACCACCACCCCGGTGGCTCCCAGCCCCCCTTGGCCCCCCAACCTCACTCCAGGGCCCCTGGGTTTCTAAGTCACAGGGTAGAGTTCCCGGAAAGCACCTGTACTAATGGGGTGGCCAGCGGGGACAGCACACATCGCTGTCCTGGGCAACAGGGGCCAGGGCCAGCTCTGGCAGGCCACAGGCCACAGCATGACCCGGGCAAGGCTGTGACCCTGTGCAGGAGGCTGACACCATGACCCGGGCAGGACTGGTATGAGGTTAGCCAGACGCAAGCTGGGAGGTGGGATTAAGACATGGAGGGCCGCACCGGAAGAGCCGAGGGCAGAGTGACAGCCCGTGGAGCCCTGCACCCTTGGGATAGGCGCCCCAAATGGCTCCAGGGCCAGATACTGGAGCCTTCCATGGGAGAGGATCTATGCATGGCCAAGCCAGAGGAATAACGGAAGTGGGCCAGCAGCTTTGCAGATGGAAAAACAGCCCCACAGCGAAGACACAGCTCAGCCAGGGAGCCACGGGGGCCCCTACTCAGAAGCTGCCTTTTCCAGGAAATCCCCGAGGCCCTTAACACGGCTTCTCCCCTTCTTCTGCCAGCCACGGCTCCATTCTGCCTGCTGGGCTTACAACAGGGTCCCATCCCAGACCAAGTCCCCTGCACACTCTCCCTGAACCAGCCACTCAGAAAAGGTGTGTCTATCAGCTCCTGCCTCGTACAAATCCCTCTCCAGCACCCCCACAACTTTACACCTCCCCCCAGAGCTTAGGAAAGTACACCCTGGCACAGGGCCCAGAGCCTGGATGTGGGCCTCTAACAGAGGAAGACTGAGGCTGCATCACATGAGGTCAGGGGTCAGGAGGGGAAACAGAGCATACCCAGACCTTCATTTCAACAGAACACCCCCTCCCCTGACCTGAGAGGGTGACTGTCCTTCTTCAAGCAGGCACTCCCTGGGGCCTTATGTGGAGGGGTAATGGAGGAAGAAGGTAAGGGTGGGCGGCCCTGACCACATCCCAGGCCCACCCCATTGCTCACTAGTAGAGACTTGACCTTGCCTCCCTCCCCAGGCTCCAGAGATGGTCATGTGACCCAGTCCCGGCCAGAGTCCTTCATGCTTCTGGGCCAGCGACTGGCTCAGGGATGAGCCTGTGACCCAATCGGATCCAATGAGAATCCACCTTGAGACTTTCGCTGCTGGAACCAGGAGCACGGTGCTCTCTGCTAGGGATCTAAGCTAGGATGGAAGACTGGAGCTCTGGGGCCAACATCGGCAGGAGTCTGCCTGAGACCCACGCCCCTGGCAGGAAGGCAGCATGGAAGGGCAGGTGGTGTCCAATGACAGCCACGGCTGGAGGCAGGTGGAAGCCTGCTGGCTTCATTAGGGGAGCCGGGATGCTCCTTCTGCACGTTTTGTCTTCGGCAGCCTGAGCTGGGTTTCTGTCACATGCCACCAAGAGTTCGGGCTCACACAGGGAGAGAAGGAGTCACAGAGGAGGTGACCCTTCAGCTGGCTACTGTCCATCCTTCAGACATGGAAAAGCCAAGGAATTCCAGAGCCAAGCCTGATGCATCCACCACCACCTCAGTGCTGCCTGCTGGCTCTCCCCGCCCGACACAGGATGCACGGTGCAGTTCCTGTGAACGTGGCAGCAAGTCCTGCTCCACCATCGCTAAGCTGTGTGGCCTTGGGCAAGTCAGTTGCCCTCTCTGAACCTCCAAACACGCCTTGTTCCTTAAACATCAGACATTCATGTGCCACCCTTGCATAGGGACTTCCGGTATAGAGATTACCAAGGCCATGGCCATCTGTGTACTTAAGTTTCTTTAAAGCAAGTCACTGTCATTCAGTTAGGCATAATTTTACTTATAAGAGAAGCTTATTGTCGGCATAGGAATACAGAAACCCAGTACAATGTGGAATAAACAGAAAGGCATAGGAAGAACAAGCATGCACCCATGCACATGAAGACGTCTGTCCATAACCCGACCACCTAAGTCCTCCTGCCAGGACCCCAGGAAAGGCCAGGTGGTGGAGAGCAGGCACTCAGCAGTGCCCAGCACACAGTAAGTGCTCATCGAGCCACAACTCCCAGTACTACTGTCACCAGGACTGTCAATGACGCAGCTGCAGCCCAGTCACCAGCGACTCTGATGGGGAGGCAAGTAGCCCTGCCCGGCCCCAGCAAGAGCAATGAGATATCCGTTCTGCAGCCGGAAACCAGAGGCTGGTCCTGGGAGGGCGGGCAGTGCTGGCCGCCGGGACCCAGCCCTGTTCTAAAATTCCTGCAAGACCTCGGCTCCCAGTCTGCAGACCCTGGTCATCCACTGCAGCGAAGCAGATTCTATCCCCCTCTCTAGAGGTTTTCAACAGCTACTGGTCTCAGAGGAGACGCAGCAGCCATCACTTCTGCAGAGTGCTGCTCCCAAGGTCTGCGCCTCTTCCAAGGGCACCACGGGCAACCAAATTTTGTGTTGTGCAAGGCAGCTGCGAGGCCTCATTTACCCACAGCTTTTCCAGCCTCCTTTGTCCAACGAGACGCCTCCTGGAGGTGACAGGACCCTGACACACACTCACCATTGTGCACCAGAGGCCAGGGAGGGTGATGCCTTCCTAAATCACCCGTGCTGGCTGGCTTTCCGGTCCCTAGGATTGACACTGTGCCCACCGCGGAGCACGGGGCTGGGGCCTCCGCCCCTCACCCACCAAGGGGTCCCCCCACCAGCCCCCTGGCCCAGCATCCTCACCGGCCGGTGGGCCTCATGCTGCCCTCACTCACCAGGAGCTTAGGAAACCTGATTTCCAAGCCCTCCCGACCTGAGCCACGCTTGCTGCCAACTCAAAAAAAACGAATGTTAGGAATCCTCAAGTTTGGCGGATCCTCAAAAATGTAAACATAGAATTACCACGTGACCACTGAGTCCAGTCCCAGCATCCACCTGGAAGAACTAGAAACAGGCTCCAACAAAACACGGTATGCGCGTTCATGGCGGCGTGTTCACGGCATGCACGTTCACGGCGGCACAGTCACAGCAGCACATTCACCGTATGCGCGTTCACGGTATGCACATTCGCGGAGGCACGTTCACGGCGGCAGTCACGGCAGCACGTTCACTGTATGCGCGTTCACGGCGGCATGTTCACGGCATGCACGTTCACTGTATGCGCGTTCACGGCGGCGTGAGTCACAGGAGCCAAGAGGCAGACCCAGCAAACATTCCCGTCCATCGGTACAGTGGAGTAGTACGCAGCCATGAAGAGGAATGAAGGACTGCTGTGTGCGGCGCCACACACACCCAGAAAATGTGACGCCGAACCCAAGAGTCCAGACACAAAAGGCCACGTATTATGTGACTCCATTTACATGAAATGTCCGGGGCAGGCACATCCACAGAGACGGAACAGACACCGGCGGTTCCCAGGGGCGGGTGAGGCAGGAATGGGGCCTGCGAACAGGTACAGGGTTTCACAAGGCAGTGAGGCAAAGCTTTTGAAGCTGGAGCGAGGGGGCGGGTGCACAGCACTGCAAATGGAAAGTAAGCTTTGACTTTTCATCAGCAGCTGTGGAACTGAATGCCAAGAAAATCTGATGGTATCACTTCCTCAAGGATGCGGGCAGAGGAGGATGAGGGAGCCTCTCGAGGGTCTCCAGGATCTGCTCCTGGCCACAGGAGGTTCTGAGGACAGATCCGAGCTAGAGCAGGGATTCAGACACAAAAGGCCCCACCCAGGTTGCCGCTGGGTCTGGCTGCGCTGGGGTCAGAGGCAATGGGCAGCATCCGAGTATTTACAGACACTCTGGTGTTTCTGCTGAGCCTTGGACTAGCACTGGAGACTTGATGTGGGCCCCGGGGGTTCTAGGCCCTGGAGGATCTCGGACTAGGCGCCCTGCCCAGTCCTGGGGAGAGCCAGGGGATATGAGGAAAAAATTCCAGAGGGTGAAGGAGAGGGAGGGAAAGTGCTTCAGCAGGAGGCACCACTGAGCCAGAGCAGGGAGGTGAGCACAGGTCAGTGAGGAGTGAGCCAAGGTGGGGTGGGGGATGGGGCAAGCGCAGCCGCAAAGGTGAGGATGGTGGGGGGGGGTGAGCACAGGCGCTGTATGTTTAAGAAATTCATTGAGTGAATACGGGAAGCGAGATGGGGACAGTCACTCGAGGCCCCATGGACCTGGGTAAGGATGGATTTTGTTCCCAGGGCAGTGGGGAGCCACAGAAGGTGGCTGAGGGGGAGAGTAAAGGGTCAGAGCGTTTTATGAGCAGGAGTGGATTAGGGAGTCCTGGGGAGGCTCCTGCAAATGTCCACGAGAGGGGACGCTGGCGGGATCAGCGACAGAGAAGGGGACGTGGGCAGGTGGGTAAAAGTCAGGAGGGAGACGGACTGCAGGCTGCGGAAACAGCTGGCTGCAGGAACATGGGAGGATGGCCCCGGATGCCTCACGGCTCTGAGCCTGTCTCCTCAGCTGCACAGTGGGGACACGAGAGTCCCACTCCACAGGCCAGACAGAGGCGAGGACTCTGTGCCTTTTGCCTGGGGAACAGCAGGGGCTCAGCCATACAAAGTCAGCAAGACCAGGCCTCTGTGGAGGACAAGACAGCGCCTGGGTATAAGTTCTAAGGATTTGCAAATCTCAGGTGGCCGGGAGGCCCAGTGGGGACACTAAGGGCCCAAGCAGGCCCCTGCACATCCCAGCCACCAACT